TTGTGTGTGTGTGTGTGTGTGTGTGTGTGTGTGTGTGTAGGTGTAGAGGGGAGGGGGTGTAAAGAACACACACCCCTATAAAGGTGGTGTTTTTTAATTTTTGCGGTTAAAAGATCTTTCTAATCAAATGAATACTATCATTAATACTAATACAAAGGACCGGGTTAAAATAGATCCTTCCCTTTTTTTTTTTTAATATGACGATTATAATAACGCAGGGCAAATACAGGGGGGCACCTTCAGTGGTCGGACGCTTTTTTTCATTGTCTATTTGCTCCATACCCTCTACTTCTCGTGGTTCCTTATTTACTTTGTGTAGGTGGGCGTGTGCATTCCTCCTACGGTGGCGCTTAGTGTAAATACAACACAAAAAGGGTTTACTAATAAGGGAACGGCACGAGGACGGTTCTAAACGCGCAAATAAATATACGCGCCCCTTTTCAAAGGATTTCCTTTTATTGCCTCTATTTCTTTTCTCCTTGCAAAGGGAGTGGTACTGTGTAAAGTTCGTTTCGCGAGGTACCAAGGCTCATTTTATTCGGAATCACCCATTTTGCCTTGCCTTTTTCTCTTTCGATTCTTATCCTCATCAAAGGAGAGGGGGGGTTGGTCAAGCGAAGAGACTTTGCTCAGCGGCAAACGGCTTCCGGCGAAGGAGAGGGGGTGGACTCGTAATATCGGGCGTGAAACGAAACCAAGTCGGGAAGGGGAAGGGGAAGGGGAGGGGGGGCGCAGAACACCAAATCCACCCGTCTCCACCTCTAATCCTGAAAACGAAACGCCCAAGAAAAGAGGAGAGCCGTCAACTTGACGACCCCGGATACGCCATTTTAATCCCCTTCTCGTCATGAGCAGCTCATCGAGTTTGGATATCGCTTTCACGGTCGACGACGGCGCCTGCGATGGCGTCATCCCCACAGCGGGGTTGCAATCCACCGCGAAGAAGCTCGCTTCATTAGCAACGACGCGCTCCGGCCATCGTCATCTTCGCACGGTGTGGGGAAGGCCTTATAGCGGGAAAGGGCCCTCCTCGCTGTCGAATCCACCGGAATCGAGGGGTGCGGGGTATTCAGAGTCCCCTACGCTAATGAACGTCGGGGCTGGAAACACCACTCACGGCGGCGAGGGCAGCCTCCCCACGCTTCGCTATCGCACGGATCTCGACAAGGCGGTGATTCATTTCATGTTCGAGCGTCTTAATCAGGCGGTGGAGCAGATCATCGTTCCGAGCACGTGGAACGACGCCACCAACCCCGACGCCACGCCTGGCGAGGAGGAAAACGAATACACCCAAACCGGTCTGGGGGATTGGCATTTTTACTGGATGGCGGTCGGCCGCGTGCGCGCGATTTTCGCCACCGTTGAGTTCCGTCTGCAGGAGAATCAGATCATCAACCACTTTCCGAACCACTACGAGCTCACACGGAAGGATTTGATGTATAAAAATATCAAACGCTACCTCCGCGAGCGCTCTGGTGAGGGGTCACCGGGTCCGAAGTTGTTTTTATCAACCGCTCTTGACTGGGCGGCGGCGTCGTCGTTCGCGCAGAATCCCGCGGGTGGAGGGGGTGTTATCGCGCGTTTTTACTTCGGCGAGGGTGTTCCCATGACGTATAACATCCCAAACGACATGAGCATGTTCATCGAGGAATTCAAACGCTGCCCGGGCTCGACATGGATCGTGAAGCCAACCTCGTGCTCGCAAGGGAAGGGGATTTTCCTCATCAACCGCATCCAGCAGCTCCTGCAGTGGATGAAGAAACGCCACGCGGAGGCGCGCGCGGGAAGTCCTGCAGAGGGGGGAACTTCTTCTCGTGGAGGAGGAGGAGGAGGAGGAGGATCGCATCCGCATAAGCTGCATTCCGTCCCTGCGAAGGTGGAGCATTCTCGCGATGGCAAACTCGACTCGGCGGCACCGAGCAGCTCTCAGACGGCCTTCGCAGGGTCTTTTATTGTCAGCCGGTATATCGCGAATCCCCTCTTGATCGGCGGCAAAAAGTTCGACCTCCGACTTTACGTCCTCGTAACGTCTTTTAAACCTCTGGTGGCGTACTTTCATCGCGCCGGTTTCGCTCGTTTCTGCGCGACGAAGTACGTCGGGGATCAGACCTCCGGGCATCACCTCGGATCCCACTTGACGAATGTGGCTTTGCAGAAGGGCGACAAGCACTACAACACCACTCATGGGGGGAAGTGGTCCCTAAAGAACTTTTTGCTCTACGTTCAGGCCCACTACGGGCCCTACATCGCCTCAAGCCTTAGTCTTCGGATTGAGTTTCTTATCTTTCACTCCCTCCAGGCGGTGAGCTCGGTGATGCTGAACGACAAACACTGCTTTGAACTCTACGGATATGACATTCTGATTGACGAAAATGTTATGCCGCATTTGATCGAGGTGAACGCCTCTCCATCGCTTTCCACCACCACGTTGGCGGATCGTCTGTTGAAGGAGGAGGTGTTAACCGATATGCTGAAGATTGTCTTGCCTCCCGACTTCCCAAGCCCGACGGCGATGCCATACTGGGAATACCGCCTCCGCACTGACTTGACAACACAGCTATCGACGGATTTTAAATTACTTAATTTTTAGTGGCCTTTATGCGGAGATTGCTCTCTTTTTGCTGTTGCTATTGCTTGTATGTTTTGGCCGTATCACCGTGCATTCCTCTCTCTCATTTGCTTCTTAGGGCGGTTGCCATACAATATGAGATACAAAAGTAAGGGGGTTGAAAATGAGTGAGAGGGAGCGATAAGTGGTAGTGGTGGTATTGACCCCTTGGCTAGAATAAATCGATAAGCATTTCACTATACCTTTTCAAATCTCTCTATTGTTATTATTATTCGCACCAAAAAACGTCCTTCTTATTATCTTTAGCGATCCACCTGTTTGCAAAGGAGCAAAAACATCAGCTTGGGGAAGGATGATTTCCTTGTTTTAATTGGAACTAGGGTTAGATCATCAAATGTGAGGGATCTGGTGGGTATATGCATATATAGATATATGCTTCTGTGTGCGTGAAGCTGACTCTATAAATCAATTATCGATAATCCTACTAAACCTCAAGTATGGAGGGCATCTTTTTCAGAAAAACTGTGTTGCTCTGTTTTATATTTTTTTATTATTTCGGAGCGTTGTGTGCGTGGGAGAAAAAAAACGATAATTAGGCGATTGGAAGACAGGGAGAAAGATGCAATGAGCCTTGTCTTACCCTTTCTTAATCTTTTGAGTTCCATGTCCTTTTTGGTCATTGTGTGAAGAGGGTGTTCCGTAGATTGATAAAGACTTGTGACGACGGCATTTTTGAGGTTATCCTGCTACTTTACAGGCTGTTTTACGGCTTTAACACCCATACCTCCACACGACAGAACTTCAATACTATTAGGGGGTTACCAAAAAACGACATCTATTAGAGCTCCATTTCTGGGATGACTAGGAAAATGCACCTCCCTTCATTTTCCTTTTTGACTTTCCACACTACTGCTGACTCCTTTGTTAGTCTCAACGCAAATCGCAACCACCATCCTCTTCTCCCATCCTTCCTTTAGCGGATATATTTAGAATTATCAGGAGACTATCACACCAACAATGGATATAAATACGGAAGTTTTGCTGGACTTATCCAAGGGGCCCATTGAAATGGATGCGCATGAGGACCAGCCATCCTTCCCGATCAGCATGGGGTCGCACTCGCCGCCTGTCAGTCCAAGTAATCTAAGTGGAGACCGCCCGGCCGATGCCGAGAACCAGAACCCCGGCTTCTCTCACACCGAGTTTCGTAAAGTGGAGAAGAAGTACAAGCTCATTCAGTTCCCCCGTCGGATCGCGCGACGCCTGCCGGCCTCGCAGAGGACAGGGGGGGAGACCTTCACGGGGTCCGATCACCGCCGCGATATGGTCTTCCGCGGTGTTGTCGACTTCGAGGATTTGGAAGGCAACACGGAGGAGAACCGGGCGGCGATTCGCGCGATCCCGATCGGGGAGCCCGGGGTCGCGTGCTTCGGCTTCACCCGAGTCCCCGGCCTGATCTTCTTCCCTGGCGCGCTGACGCCGGAGGAGCAGCGGTTTTGGTGTCGCGCGGCCATCCTCGACTTCGGGGACTCCGCGCGGCATGAGAACATCCTGAGCACGCACGCGAAGTCGCCGCGGGAGACGACCTGCTACCAGCCCCCCATGCGCTGGGCCACCCTCGGCTTCAGCTACCAGTGGACGAGCCAGACGTACCGGCCGGACCGCCATTCCAGCTTCCCGACGACGCTGCGACGCCGGATTGAGGCCCTCGTGCGGCGGATCCCGGCGAACGAGGGGGGGGAGGGGCTTTCGCTCGCGACGGCGGCGACGCCCTATCAGCCGCAGGCGGCCATCGTGAATTACTACCCCGTCGGCACCGCGTTGATGGCGCACCAGGATATCAGCGAGCAGGCGCTGGAGCAGCCGCTCGTGAGCCTCTCGCTGGGGTGCTCCGCGATCTTTTTGATGGGCACCAAATCCCGCGACGACGCGCCGCACGCGTTTTTGCTGCGCAGCGGCGACGTCGCGGTCTTTACGGGGCCGGCGCGGTTGGCGTACCACGCCGTCCCCCGCATCCTCGATGACTGCCCGGAGTATCTGACGATTCCAGAGGGGGAGCTGAGCGAGGAGGAGCGCGCCCGCTACGCGCACCACATGTACTTCCAGCACCCGATGCCCGATTGCAGCTTCATGCGTGTCGACAAGGCCGCCATGACGGAGGAGGAGCAGGAGCGCTACTGGCGGCTGTGTATGCGGCATATGCGGGTTAACATTAACGTAAGGCAGGTGTACCCAGAGGTCTGCGACTTTCTGTATGAGTAAAGAGGTAGAAGTAGAGGGGAGGGGGGAGGGGGGAGGGGGTTGTGTCTAGGCAGTGTGGGGTATAGGGAGGTAAAGAAGCTAACTCATCTCTGTTTTCGTTTGTGTATTTATAAGGTGATATGAAGCGAGGCATAGGGTGTAGTAATTCATGATATGCGCACGCCTAAAGAAATTTTGCTTTTTTTTTAGTAAGTTTTTTTTTGATGTTTTCTTTCTTTTGATGGAAAAAGAAACGTCCAAAAATGTGAATGAAAATTTTTTTGCCATCTGTGATCGTTTTTGAGAGAAGCCATTCATTAGGCATGTATAACATTTATTGATACATCTGAGGTGTACTTAATTATGAAGATCAAAACAAAAACGTGGTAAAGATCTTCGCGAATTAAAATAAATATTTTTTATCAAAAACGTATTTCGTATTTGCTTGATTCACACCAAGAGCGTAAAGGCTGTCATAGATTTTTTTTGTGTGTTTAGTTTTTCTTTCGCTTTTCTTTCCCTTGTTATTGTCTGGTAAAAATGGTCTTATTATTATTCGCCCATGGTTTCATAAACCGCATGAATTCCCGCTCCCCACCTTTCCTTAAAGTAAAGAAAACGCTAAACTTGAATCGCATCACATATGGACCTAGACCCTCCTCCCTCCCACCTTTATGCACTCAAAAGTGTGTGTGTGTGTGTGGGGTGCTCTGTGCGAGCTAGTTATTAAATACACCATCCTACATCTTCTCGATATATTTATCATAGTAGTTTATCCTACTGTTGTGCGTGGCCTTCATCCTTTTTCCCCCTTTTGAGCACTTCATCAAACCATTGGTTCTCTTTTAGCCTTAAGCGCATCATGATGCTGCGATCTCCTCCCTCTCCCTTTCCAAAGCTGCCGAGCGCTTAATGATGGTTTGTATTGTGTTTGAAAACGTTTTCTGGTGCTTTCCCATGGCTTTCATAACCTTGATAGCATTGGCGATGTATTATAGCATCCTGTTGTGCACCCGGTCAAACGACAGGGAGAATCATCGACGGGGCGTGGTCTCAAATAACGATGGTCCGTGTACGCGGTAAGGGATGTCTTCTCAACAGTCTTGTGGTTCGCAGTCGGCGACGTTTTTTTCTTAGGTGGGAAATCAGCACTTCCTGACTATCCGGCGGTATTTTATCTCTTTTTCTTTTTTTGCTGAATGAAAAGGAGGATTCTATTGAAAAAAAACGGTAGGGGTGTAAGAATAATGCGGAAGGGTCGTCCAAATGGGATCGACCAGGCAGGAAAGCGTCTACATACGCTGATTTAAATGATTTGCAACTCGTTCCATGTTGAAGGGGTTCTCCAGGGACGGATTCTCGTTCTTGTGTATTATTGTTTTTCCCTTCTTTTCTCTTCATCACGTTTTGAATGGGCGAATATGTATGATCCCTACGGCGTGCAATGGGTTTCCCACGTTTGAGTATTATGATAGCGCCGATAGGACTGAAACCCCACCCCTTTTACAAAAAATTCCCATCGATCGTTTTCTTTGCATTTTTTCTTATTTTTTTGCCAAGGGGATACATGCGACCCAGTCGTACCCGGTAAATTTCAACACGCGATAAGTAAAGATCCATTTCACGAGCCTTCACTTTTCTTCTTTGACTTTGTGGTTGCAGGGGAGACTTGGGTGGGTTTGCGGAGTTGGGAATGAAGGCGATCGCCTCCGGGAAGGCCCCGCTCCGCGAGTACCTCTCGCAGGCGGTGTTGCTCTCCCACGCGAGCCTCCCGCCTCGCCCGTTTGGCGCCGAGGACGCGCACTGCCGTCTCCGCTCGCGGGGCTCCTCGGCGGAGTCGCGGTCGATCTTCGCCGAGGTCCCTTTTGACATCTTCGAGGCGAACAACAAACAGGCCTGGATCGACCTCCGCGCGGGCTACTGCCACCTCTGCCAGGAGCCCCTTGGCAACTCCGCCGGCGTGCACGTCGGCGATCGCGATCACACCAACATGCACTACTTCCTCTACCTCCTCGCGCGTTACCCGCGTGGGGATGCGACGGGGAGTCGGGGGGCGTTTCTCGGCCTCGCGACGAATCCCCACCGCGGCGGC